GTCTATCACATTAACTCCGATTGAACACCTGCAGCTTGACAGCATTCGTCAGATTTGATTTTCTCAACATATTCCTGCCATTTATAACGCTTTACGGACCTAACTACTTCAATTTACTTCGTCTAAATTTTACTCATATTTCCACTATGAATATCGCACGAAGTATTGTACGCAATCGCCCCGGCATGAAGATGACCAGGATGAAAGAAAAAAAGTAAGCGAAATCTTACACTTTAGAACAAGACTGTTAATGATGTCTCATCGTAGATTGTATCCCACCTCAAAAGACAAAAAAAAAGAAACCTGCCGCTTACAGCAAGAAGTTCCATGTGAGCGAATACAAAGTATGCTGAACTCGTAAACATGTTCTCTTTTTGATTTATGGGATTGCAAGAGAAAAATCATATGTTCCTTGCTACTTTCGTAAAATCACTAAAGAGAATTGACTGAAGAAGGTTAAAAAAATGTGGCGAAGGTTTGATTGTTGGTAGGTTTCTCTTATCTGACCATTCGCATTTGCCTTGGGCACCCTGTAGACTGGCTTCAACATAGGATTGGAGAAGAAACGGACTACATTTTTCTTTTCCTCACTGCTTGGGATTACGGTAAAAAGATTTGGAAGAGTTTCGTGCTAAAGAGCATTTTTGAATACCCTATTTTCCGGTTTATAAGCCGCACCTTATATAAGCCGCACCCGCCGCAGCGAACAATGGCGCGAAGGAGCCTTCGAAAAGAAAGTTTTGATCTAACAAACTGAAAACTCGTTGCATTTTGTGACTGCTTTTCATTGCGCATGTTCACGTTTTCAGATATTTCTTTATTCTTTCCAGAGATTCGGACGATTTTGGGGTGTTTGGGTTGTGCTTTTTCCTCACGAATACAATGGAGTTGACCGTGTTTTCTTTTGTTTTTAACACGTTGACGACCGAGCCATTTTTGACCACATCAAAATGGACTGATGATCTACGCTGCGGTTTGGATTGTTTAACAGCTACCGCAATGCCGTGTGTTCTATGTAACAGCCAAGCCACCAGAGTTATCACTGCATAGAAGTTACCTGAGAACTTTTCGTTTACACATGATAAATTGATGCACAAAAGTGCTAAAGGGTGGCCCGGGCGTGCATACGCGCAGATGCACATGGTCGTCAACGTGTTAAAGAACTTACTGAGGCTAAAGCTGCTGTTATTTTATTCGATTTCAATGATTGTTGATGACGATGTTGATGTTTCAATGGTGCTTTCAATGCTTCCACAAGAAAGAGCGAAAGCAGAAAGTTACAATCAGGCTACTAGGTAAAGTAGGTGGTAGTTGGCTGCTTGCGCGGCTTCGCACATCGCGACCATCATCTCGCATCAGCCCGCGCGCGACGAAAATAATTGCGGCTTATACGCCGGAAAATAGGGAATTTTGTTTCAAACGAAAGATTTGGAAACTTTGTTTTCGAATGTATAACGGGCGCTTTCACTCGACCATCCATTTAAACTGCTTTGAAGATCTGTAGATTGTTTGCTAGGATTCGCGGTCCAAACAGCATAGCATAAAAGATCTCAATTTTCTTACAATCTTATTTATTTATTTTTATTTATTGTTACATAGGGTTGCCCCTATGTGAGAATCAAACAAACCAAAAAGAAAGAAAAACAACACAAAACAAACAGAACAACAACGAAAATTAACAATGACAAGATCATCCAACCTGAGGTACACCAGATCATCACAAACAACTTTTAGATTGCAAGTAACTCTTTATATTGGTCTTGAACGTTGATAGCTTGACAGTTAACATACCATTTCTTACCATTTCATCGAGGTCAGATAATACGCGACAACTGAAGAAGTTTTCTCTCAGTTTTGACTTTGCTCTTGGTTTTATCAGCTTTACATGCCCACCACGAGTGTTGGAAGGTCTAGCGGAAAAGTAATCCTTGAGGTCGAGTCTACATTCCCCAAAAATGATCTTATGAGCCAGAATCAAATCAAATTTGCGCCTTCGATATGCTAATGTCGACAGCTTGAAATTCAAGTTACGAGTCTTTCCATCAGGTATCTGGTCATATGATAAACCGGTAGTTCTTATAAATAATTTACGCGTAAAACTGTTCTGAACTCTTTCAAGATAGTTGATTGTTTTGCGCAAATGAGGGCTATATATGGAGGTACCGTATTCTAGCATAGGTCTTATGAATGTCTTATAAGCTTTCAGGAACACCTCAGCTTTATTGCACGAGAGTGCTCTAAACAAGTTATAAACGGCCCTCATAGCAGTATCCGCAATAATTTTACAGTGCTCATCAAATGTGAGATCATTCCTAACTAAGAAGCCCAAATCACGCACAGATGTGACTGTTTCTAGGGAAACTCCTCCCAAAGTGTATAGGTACGCATGATTACTCGAACCTATATGAAGCACCTTCGTTTTCTCTCGAGAAATGGGCATTTCCCATTCCAACGACCAAGCATACACATCGTTCAAGGAATTTTGCAACAGTTCACGCCCACTGTCATTCATCACCACAGCGTACAATTTAAGATCATCAGCAAATGCAGTACAAGAGACTCCTTTAGAAAGTGGGATGAGACAAAGGTCGTGGGTATAAATATTGAATAATATTGGTGAAAGAACACCTCCCTGCGGCACTCCACTACTGATTTCTCTTGGCTTAGAGAAGGAACCATTGATTCGTACAACAAAAGATCTTCTCATCAAGAAGGCTTCAATCCAAGCAATGATACGCGGATGTATACCTACAACTTCGAGCTTTTGCAGAAGTTTCTTATGCGGAACTTTGTCAAAAGCCCTGGCAAAATCCAAGTAGATAACGTCAATGTTAAATCCATCCTCAATTTGTCGCGTCCATTCATTCAAGGAATGGAGCATAGCAGTTGTGGTAGAACTGCCTTTTTGAAACCCGTGCTGAACAGGATTTATAACGCTGTACCTCTCTAGATGTTTTGTTATACTTTTCTTCAAAATTTTTTCAAGTAGTCGGGCAAAGATCGAGGTTATACTAATAGGCCTATAATTCCTAGGACAGGTATAAGGTTTCCTTTTAGGTATAGGTGTAATAAAAGACAAACGCCACCTCTCGGGAACCTCAGCTCTTATCATACTCAAGTTGAAAATGTATTCAAGAGGACCACAGATTACATCCGCGACAGCTTTGATGAGCTGCAATGGCAAGAAGTCTGGTGTTAGGGAAGTGGATTTTGGCCAACGCATCAACAGTTTGTAAATTTCATCACGATAAAACCATACCCCCTCCTCCATTGTTTCGAAGGTTGCAGTGGACTGATTATGACTGAGACCGGTTTCGATTTGAAATACTTTTTCAAAAACATCAGCTAAACATTCAGCTTTTGCTACATCCGCAGTGATGACTGCGCCATCGTCAGAACAAAGAGGCCCAAGACCACTTTTTCTTTTGAGTCTGGAGCTGATCATCTTGTAAAATAGTGATCTATTACCACTGCTTACAACCTTCTTTTCAACAGAGGAATTGTATTTTCGTAGCTTCTTTCGGAACCTAGCATCAAGTTTGGAGTAAGTGTCCCACTGCACATTTCCCCCAATCTTGATTACTTTCGTCCATGCTCGTTGTCTACTGGCGTGAAGAGCGCAAAGGTGTTTCGGCATCACATGTCTGATCACAGGGGCTGTGATTAAGGGGACATACAAATCAATGCTATGATGCAGTATGAACAAAAAGATTTCATACATCTCGTTGACGGTGTTTACCGTAGCAAATGAACCATACCAGTCAACACCAGATAAATATTGCCGCAACCCCTGAAGATCAGCATGTTTGAAGTCCCTGCGTGTGACATAGGATGCATTGCAACTCTCAAAGCTATTCATTCGAAATTTAATCGATGCGTGGTCGCTGGTACCCAGTGGTGCTTCTACTTTGACCTCACTAATCAATTCGTGATCATTTGTAAAAATCAGATCGAGTAAGTTGTCACCCAGCGTCCGAGCCCCAACTTTCTGGGCCAGGTCATACAACCTGCACATCCTGAGAAAATCCCTAGAAACAGCATTAGGCGCTGTGCCTATATAATGATCACTCCAGTCAACTCCCGGGAGGTTGAAATCTCCCATCAGAACTATTGAACATGGACATGCCAGTAAATCTGTGATAGCGCTGATCAACTGCCTTGTTTTACTGGAGGGACAGCTCGGGGCTCTATACACCAAGATCAGCCTTATCGATTTATGGGCAAAAATATCAGTAGACAATATCTCATAACTTTCATGCACTGACTCATGAAACACCAAGGACGGGCTGAGCCTCTTATGAACGACAAATACCAAACCTCCTCCTTTTTTGCCAGTGCGATCGCATCTATAGACAAAGTAATCATCTAATAGGCACCCAAACAACGAGCTGTCACTTATGTTTAACCAAGACTCAGTGATACCTATGACCAAAATGTTACTATTGAGAATTTGGAATTTCAAGCTATCAATGTTCTTACACAGCGACCTAATATTAGCCAAAAGACAGTTCAAAAAGCTACTCGCAATCCGCGGAGATCTTATTTGTTTAAAGGAATTGGCTGTTGTACCTCAGAATCAACTTGCGTATTGATATTACCGCTAGCAACGTGGTCAACATGATCAATTATTGATAAATTCCTAGAGTCAACAGACATATGTGATCTACCATTAGATGCTTCAGCGCTACGGCGAGCCATCCTCAGTTCCCGAATTTTATCCCTCTCTTCTTTGGGAAGAGAGGGACGTATGTATACCCCCCTCTGATACGGGAAACTTTTCATTTGGGGCGCCCTCCGCAGCGCCAGCCTAACAAAGTATGAAGCGGGTAAAATAACTTTCAAGAGTCGACTGAATGTGTTGTTTGGCTTCCCCATTCGATAAACTGCGATAGGTCTGCAGTCTATCCCAAGGTAGTCCAAAATATATTCAACACAGGAGAAATCATGGTTAACCTTATCGAAACTCCTTGATCTTCGCAGTTCAGGGACTCCAGCAATTACTAAAGCTCGCTCTCTCTCAAGATCTTCTTTATCAGCTCGATGCATGGGGGAGGGTGCAGGGTCACGCATGCTAGAGTTATCAACAAGTGACCTAAGTCTTTCATTTTCAGACTTAAGGGAAATCAATTGCTCCGATAAATCGTTATTCCTCGATAACAACTCACGATTCCGTTCGTTGACCGCCTCGAAGTGCTTGTGGGATTCGACTAGATAAGCTAGTACAGTTCTAGCATACAGTGGAATATCCTCATCCTTCAAGAGATCATCAGCTGCACGGGAGAAGTCGGGTGGGGTGATGTCGTACTGCAGGCGCCTCTTTTTCTGCCTTTCGTGAGGCTGTAGCGGATATACAGGCGTATCGGTCGTTTCGGACATTAGGCAGAAGCAGAATCAGAATAGGGGACTCGAAATCCGAATGCAGGATAGGGAAGAGGATGAAGGCTGAGGTATTTGACGGAGGAATCTGGGGAACGAGTGGCCCAGTAGATCTTTGGCAGAGCGTCGATAAAAAGCGGCCGCTCACTGCCGTGTCAGGCGATCGAATGCCGTGTCAGGCGATCGAATGAAGGTATCAGCTTATCAGGTTATTTCCTGGGGCGCCATTATAGGCAGTGTCCCGGCAGATTTTGCATTTCTACCTTTCTGCATCTCTCAGGCCTTTTCGACACGTAGAACCCGACTTTGAGCTTCAAACGGGGGAAAGGACCGTTTTTGGGGCGTGTACTCATTTTTCAAAACGCAGCTCGGACGAGAGTTTCAAAGGAATGTTGGGTGGCTCCGGCACGAAGACCCTGCCGCCTGTACTTTTTGCATTGGAAAGCATGGGCAGTGCGTTAAGTAGTCGTGGGGTCCCACGGCGAACAGGTAAACAAGGTCGTCCGAGCGCGCGACGGTTCGAGGGCTACTTTCTCGGCGCAAGGGGAGCATCAACCAGCCGGACTGGGCCTGGAGGTTAGTGGGGTGACCAGGGACCCCACCACAGCTATATCCCCTGGGCGCGAATTTGTAGGACACTGCCATTATGCTATTTTTTCACTATACAGTAGGAAGAAAAAGTATGCAGTCATTTTTCACTGTAACCATAGGTTAAAGCCAGCCCGTCCCCGACAATGTTTTTTGATGGATAGAAGAGATTTTTCGGACAAAAGGGTTGACAAAGGAAACAGTCGCCACATATTCCGGGGCATCTTGTTTAAGCGTATACTCTTCTAAGTCATAAAAATCCTTGTCATCTGCTGACGAAATTCCTGGCAAAGCATTTGAGTTTACAAATACATAATGTTTTGTAAACTTATGTCAAGTTTGTGTCATTACAATTTTGCATAGTTTATGCACGAGTCATGCAAGAATCTCACGAAAGCAGAAAATGGAAACCACGCAAAAAATTGAAAGGGTACTGATGTCCTCTGCCTTCCGAGAAGTGCTGCAGAACTTTCCGAGGGTGCATTTCCTCTGCTGTGTGGTTAGAAATCCGCGGATCCAATGAAAATCGCAAGTGAGCCAATGTTTACGCGTACCTCAATCTGTGAGAGCTTCTGTTCACTTTCTCTAGTCTAGGTCAATTAATGTCACGTTCTGGCCATAAGTAAGATATGAAAAATCAGAGGATAACAGCAAGATTTTCTCCAAATTACGTTGATCTATACTGCCTGGATAGATTCCTCAAAGCAAGTCAAGCTTATATTGTTGATATAAGTTCTTGGGTTCTCGTCAGTTTGGGCTAATCAAACTCACAGTTATCCACTGATTGGCTTGAAAAGTCATGACATGAAAGGCATAATACTAATACAGCAAACACCAATCAATAATCGATTGGCAATCATCGGTATAGCTAATCGCCGCTGCCAACCACTTTACAATAATCCTTTCTTGTTTTCTTTGTAACAACAATGAACCTTCTCTGCCTGAGTTTATTCCTCTCTATACAGTAAGTTTCGACCCGCTTTAGGCGGAAATTGGATTGACGGGAGTCCGCCTCGCAACAGCTCGCGCCGTTTCGCAGCTACAGTATACCCTATCGTGCCGAGAACCTATGTCTGCGTCTCTTCAATCTCCTTAGTCTTTGCTTGGCAAAATGCCAGCGCTATGCGCTCGCGAAGCCTCCAGCGATGCGCATACGCTACTCCACGCTGCTCGCCTAATCCGGGATACCGACTGTAGCTCATTGCACAATGATTCCTATCATAGTATTAGGTTGTCCCAAAAGTATACTCCATTTTCAAATGAATCGAGCTGTTTTTGTTTTCCTAACAGACTTAGAGCAGAGCCCAGCACGAAGGTAACAAATGGACATCGGTGAAACTCGCCTTTGCCACTATCGATTTTCACGAATTCCCATCTGATCCCCCTAGCTGCGTAGGTTGTTCGACTGGGCGCGCTTTCTTAATTGAAAAGACCAGCGCCATTGCTATTTTGGAACCTAACCAGAAGGAGAGGAGGAGATTTGAAACCAAATGTTACTACATACTAAACTTCAGGTGGAGAACAAATGTAAAAATTTTGAGAAACTTACGTGAAATGGAAGATTTGCCCACCTTAGATGGGAAATAGGTGGAAAATTACCCACCTAATTTGGAAAAGTTGGGCACGCTTTTCATTCACATGAATTTTTCATATTTTGTTCCTTAGTCTCACTGCGCGTATGCGTTCCAAGTCTCGCGCGATTTCGTCATCTCTGCGTTGCATAAAAGCCATTTTTCCATTCTTGTTAGCTGGAAATTTTCAGAAAAAAGCTTGCCACGACCTTCAGTCAAATTTTTCAATGAAACTTTTCACTTGACCCCTGCAGGCCCGTATTCATACACATACCAAGTTTCAAACCACATCGTCATCTGCGCGTTGCAAACAAGCCATTTGAATTCACATCTTCATTCACCGGTGATGCAAAATTTTTGGAAAAGAAATGCTTATTACACCTCCCATTCACATAAGTTTTTCATAATTTTTCATACTTTGTTTCCTCTAGCCTCTCTTCAGTGACGGCAAGATTTGACGCGCACGAAAGCCCATTCTATAAGAAAGAGCCTAGATTCGTTTCCCATTAGGACTACCCTATGGGATCCTGGCCGGGGTCAACGCTATAGAATGGGTCATCCTCCGCAGCCCGTCATAGGTGTGTGATATGAGTATGAAGGAAGCAGAATCGGTAGGTGAATCTTACAAGGGGTGTATGTCAAGAAGCGCGATTTTTATTACCAGATGACACCAAAAAGCACATAATAAGTATTCTATAACATTCAAAAAGTACTGAAATTTTGAAAGGAGATATGTTTAGGAGTTGTATGGGTTGCACAAGCTTGCTATATTGAAATCAATTCAAAAAAGCAATTTTGAAGGTCAAAAACCCATGAAAATGCAGCTAAGAACAAATTCGTAAATATTTTGGCCCGTTTCCCAGCAAAAGCCATCAAACTCGGCGAGTGGTAACCTCAGACAGTAATCCAATGCACTTTATGTGATACTATTTGAAGACTCGCTTAGCACTAAACTGGAGTTTTAAGTTGGTGACAATCGGAGAAATCGCGCCTCTTGACCGTCTCCCATCTTACAGCAACCTAGAATTTTACAGTGGACGGTGATCTGTCACACAAGGCCACTCATTACTGCGGTTTGCTTAAATGAAACTGTTTGTGGTCGAAGTTAGCTTTTTTGAAGCTCATGCTCCTACAATAGCCCATCTCCATCATTCTGTGCATTTGGAAGAACTAGATCAAACTGAGTCTGCTTGTTGAACTCTGGCCCATAATTGTTTCCTGGATAAGAGCAAAAATGTTGGTTTCCAGACCTCTGCAGGTCTTTTCACTCGCACAAACCTCCAAGGATTTTCCAATGCCAAAAATTGCCAAGTATATGGTAGTTGACAATCTCCTATCAGCAAAGTCTATGTATTACCCAATACATAACTGCGACCGCATTCGCAAATGATTATGCATTCTAGAGTATACTGGCCCGTAGTAAACCTGCTTCATTTGATCTCAACTGAATAAAATTTCAGCTGAGGCTTCGACGAGTCAGCTTGCCTTCAGTCGAGCCATTAATTGATATTGCCCCCCATCCACGGATATGATTGAGAACGCCACGTTCATGCAAGTACACGAGTCAAAACGCGTTTGCTGAACATTCACATCTAAATGATTGGCATCAGCGACGGAGATGTGGCCGCACTTGTTAGATCTTGTTAAAGACCGTCACCCTGCATTGTGGCTCCTCATTTATATTGCAGGTTACTCAGGAGTAACTTACGAGAAGTTTCTCTGCGTATCATCATTGGTACAATATTTACATCGATTGGTAGTTTAACTGAATGTGAACTGATTGAAGTAAGGTAGACTACCTCGTCAGGTAGACGGACGGTCAGCTGAAATCTCATTTTGTATTCTCACAACATGGGAAGCTGGTGATAGGCAGTCTACCTTACCGAACCTTGGATGAGGGCCTCAGTTCAGTTCACCTGAACTGAACTAGCTTTACTACGGGCCTACTAACTGCAATCAAATCAACAGATTGTACTCGCTTCCTAGAGTTTTCTCTTCGCCATTGCTGTACTGCTGCTTCGACAAAAAAACTCAGTGAAAAGGTAAATCTCAACAAAGAGTTTCAGTCGATGTTTGTCTGGAAGTAGAGGTCAAGGCTGAAACTGGATACAAGAAGCAGGAAAAGCTTGGCTCAGCTTTCTGGGGCTTAATTCCTAACTAACCGCACGTAGCTTCTAGTAAAAGTTGCCTATGGATCACCTAATTTTTCTATACAATACATATTTCCAGCTCATCGGTTGCTATTACTCAAAAAACCCAATGATAGTAGATTCGTTTGATGAGTCGTAAGAGGTCCTCATTTTTGAGAAAACTTTTAATTCCCGTTAGGTTGTTGAGAGACGGATGTTTCAGTGCTGAAATTAAATACAATTGAATTATTTTTAGTCGGTGTTTACAGCATTCACTCACTGCAACAATTTTCAAACACAAAAGAAATTTTTCCTTTCTTCAACGGCCTCGTTTCTTTTGAGAACTACGTAGTTGTAACGCCCTAATTTCACGCGTGTAAGGCGCGGGGAATTTTTTTCCAAAATCGACCAGCTCAAACATGTCAGAAGACTTCGCAACCAAAGGTCCCTATAACGTGCTGTATATTTCTTGAGAGAATCGTGCGGTACAAGAATTTCTTTCCGGAATGCAGTGAAGCGGCTGAGGGGCTCGTTTGAAAATTCGAAAAAGTGCGCCTTATACGCGTGAAATTACTGTAGTTGGGATGGTAAGGTTTTTCGCAATCTTCTTGCTTATTTAAGGACTCATCATTTAATTTCTCGACAACCTTTCGAGCAAAAGTGATTTGAATCCTTCTTTAAGTCAAAAGCTCATGACTTGTTTGAATGCAAG